AATTGTAACATTCAATTAACAGTATTGACAGAGCTCTAACTTACAGCTGGTACATCTAAAAACCACTTTTACCTTATGTAATATAATCATAGTGTATATTTATTATCTAATGGTTAAATAAATGGATTACTGGAAGGCAAAAGATAGCCAACTCAATGTTATGGCAGGTTATACCAGTTGGCTTAGTTGGTTTAGTATCAGATTGCTGTGCAGGAGGTTGCGGTTGGAGTCCCAKCCAGACCAAAACTCAGGGTGACTCAAAATAACTGAGTAGAAAGTGCTGCCTTTGTAATTACATCTACAAATGGATAGACTTTCAAGTGGCTTAGATAACCACGTTAAATGGTGGTCCCATCTCTGCACACTATCATAAGGGATTATTACTATCCTATATCAGTGGGGTGTAAAAGAACCACTGAGGAGGTAAAGAAACCCTGGCAGTGACCATCCTCATGTGCCTACACCTCATACTTACCACCTCTCATGTTAATTGCATCAAAAGCAATCTGGAATAGGCCCTTTGCAGCTCAGTAATCGCGTGCTGATTAATTCACWGAGAGCAAATGAATGAACATCTTGATTCCCATGGGTRAAATATACTGGTGAGCAAAAAAACTTTCTACGTCCTGTTTTGAGAGATTGTAATAAAACTGCATTTCGTAACACACTGGTTACACATCGTTTCATTCAGTTCTTCACAAGTAGCTAAAAAGAATCACTGATTTAAAAATGAAAAATTTTGCTCACCAGTACAGGCACATGACCGTTAACTGCAAAGGGCCTATTCTTAACTCAATGTAAAGTCCCTAATAAGTTGATTATTATTACAGTATATGCATATAGAAAATTAGGGCACAATATATATCATAAATCATTGTCATTAGGTCAGTAGTGTACGTTTCTGACCCATAAGAATGAAAACTCCTTTATCAACTTACTGCACAATCCTTAACTTCTCTTTTCCTTACCTGTTGTCAAATCTAGGCAAGCATATTGGTGTCCAGGATTCAGCTGTCTGGAATGATGTTGAAGCACTTACTAAGTTAAAAATTAAGTGTAAATCTAAAAAGAATAAGAAGAGAAAAAAATAACTAAGATGGAAACCTAATTAGCTGACATTTATTTATCATAGAAATCAGGAGAGGGGTAACCTAACCCTAACCCTCTAACACTATCAGAAGAGTCCTGGCCTTAAGATCTAGGCCTAACCAAACCCTAACCCTTTAGCCCAAGGAACCAGGAGAGGTGTAGCCTTAAGGTACCAAACCCTTACCCTCTACCCCAAGGAATCAGGAGAGGTGTAGCCTTAAGGTACCAAACCCTTACCCTCTACCCCAAGGAATCAGGTGTAACCTTGAGATCTTGGCCTTACCTAACCCTCTACCCYAAGAAATCAGGTGTAACCTTGAGATCTTGGCCTTACCTAACCCTCTACCCTAAGAAATCAGGTGTAACCTTGAGATCTTGGCCTTACCTAACCCTCTAHCCTAAGGAATCAGGAGAGGTGTAGACTGTTATGAGGTTGGTCATGCATTGATTTAAAATTAGTTCAGTCAGAGTTTTTTTTAAACCTGTCTAAAATAAATAAACTAAATAATAATATCCTCACCTGAAGGATGTAAACTGTATTTCTTTGGTCTAACTAAAGTGACAAGTTGATTCTTAGCAACTAAAATTGCAAAAACTAAATCCTGTAATTCAAGCACAAAACATGAAATCAATCAATCAATTTTAATTAYTAGTACCTTAATTACAATAATATTGTAATTTGAAAATATAAGAATACACCGATTTAAGGGTACAAGCTGTCTATAATAACTGCATGTGGTAGCTAACCAAGATAGACAGCTGCTTTTTGAATTAAGAATAGTATAATTTGGGTCTTATTAGGATAATAATAAATAGAATAAATAATGATATATAAATAAAACTTACATACAATTACAATCTGACAAGAGAAGACAAAATTTAAACATATCAAATAACATAAGAAGAACAAAATAAGACAAAAATGTGGCACTTTGGAATACAGCTCAACCTTCTGTTTTGTCCCCAAGATTGAGCTACTTTGACGTCACATGCTTGCAAGGGGTCTATTATTAGATTCATACTACTTGCTTATGCTCAAAACTAACCAAACAGTTAGACATTTTGTCCTAAGTGAAGTGAGCCGAGTTAATAACAAAMAATGTTACCCCAAAAAGTTTAATACTACTAAGAAAGAAAAAAGAAAAAGAATTTACCTCAACACGTGCTTGTAACATACTTTGTCCTATGGTATCCCTTATAGAACTAGATAATGGTAAACATCGCACCTTCAGAGGAAAGAAAAAATAAGTGCTTTTATGCCAGAAACAGGGCTTTCAGAATGTTTTGGAATAGGTGGTCATAAGTATAAACGTAGCTGGCTGTGATCTGATACAAAGAAGTCACAGGGTATTTAATAGAAAAAAAAGGTAGCTGGCAGTTAACTTTGAAGGAATTGCTGAAGGTTTGGTGGTAGCCTGCTTATTCTGAAACCCCTGCAGATATACTGTATGCTGTATGCTTATTATGATAATATTATGATGGCTTAAACCCTTCTATTGTCCTTGTGTTAAAGACAGTCGTCACATGCATAGATCACACTGACACAATTGACGTGATAATGTTATGGTCACTATTTCCCCCTGTGCTTATCTTTTTGTCTGCCTAATCTGTTAGAGGGTTCTTTCAGAAATCTTTCTTCACTTGACAGTTGCAGACCAATTTTTTAAGCCCTGTATAGCGCATGTCTTTGGGCAAACAGTGTAAGGCAAGCATTTCATACTTACAGATCCTAAAAGAAAACTTGGCTCATGATCCATAAGGTTTAATAAATTATCGATAAATTTCTCTGTTCCTATAAGAGATTGTGCATTGTATAATATCAGACCTTTACTAACTTTATTATTGAAAGCATCCTATCCACCCATAAATTCAATATTGTTAAACAACATTAACCTCATTAATCACCAAAATTGATATTGTGGGAGGTACAAACCTGAGAGAAGCCTTCTTAAGTCATAGTTTCTTCTCTGCTCCATGACCTTTGACAGCTGTGTATATGTCAATACACTAAGGATTTGGTTATAGACATATGAAAGCTGGAGAATAAGCTGTAATGGTGAGAACAACAATGGAAAAGGTTAGTAAGCTTGATGAATCCAGCATGGAAACAATCTATTCTCAAAACCTCTGGGTTATTTTAAGTCAAAGTAGGGAGAACTAATAGATCAAACCCTGAAACAACCTCTGYTCTGATCTAGTGTTGAATTCACCTGTTAGACTACATGTACCAGCAAAATACTGCCATTTCTATTTGTATTTCAATATTATTAGACTGCATCTTACACATACACAATTAGGTAGGGTAACTAAAATTACACAAAGTAAATTTCATCTAGGCCCTTCTTCAATTATAATTCAAAGTTGATTTTTGCAGAGGGAGAAAAACCAGAGAACCTGGAGAAAAACCCTCRAAGCACAAGACAGAACCAACAAACAACTCTACTTTTGAAGATGAGTCTGAGGATCAAACCTGTGGTGCCAATAAATCCGAAATACCTGCGTAACAGATTCTTGTGTCTGTGCAACTGCTACGAGTATCACATGTCCTCTAAGTAGGAAGACAATCTTGTGTTTTCCTGCCGTAACACATCTGAAATAATAGGCAATCTTGTGACATTCATCCTTGAGAACATATGTGAAAAGTCACTTGTTTCACGCTGCAAGAAAAAATACTGGGCACAAAGTCTGTTATCTAGAGCTTGTTCTGGAAGTCCGAATTCAAAGAAACGTCATCACATGTTTATATAATACATATAGTAGATGCTTATGTTGGTCAACCCTAGCTGGTCAACTAATCAGGAAAGAGATTAATTCAGACCACCAGAGCAAACTCCAATAGACTTCGTGAAAAGGGGTATTTTTTCTGGAAGTGAGAAACAAGCTACAGAATTTACAATACAATACAATACAATACAATACAATAACTTTATTTAACGTGGTCAAAAATACACTTAGCTCAATATAAAGGATATTTTGCTAATTTACACGTACTGCCACAAAATAAAATGTAATAAATTAAGAAAATAAATTAAGTTAATTAATTAAGTCATTTTACCGTTGGGTTCCCGAGGATGGTGAAATTTATATTGCATCATAAAATAAAACATTACAATCATAAATTTGCTATGTCAATGAATGCATGGATAGATGGATGGCTGGATGATTAAGTGAACAGCTCATTTTAAATGGCTGATTTCTCTGATTAATTTCTATTATTTCCAATTTCATGTCTTCATTTGTCTTCTTTATATTGTTTAAGGTGGCTCGGGCCGATTTTAAAGGGAGACAAGACTACAAAATCTAATGATGAACTTTACAGAGAAAAAGTTTTCCAATTTCCGTGAATTTTTGTGATGTGTCTCCTTGTGAAATAGGTGCGAGCCACGTTAATTATGAATTTAAATATAAATATAAAATAATATATAAATATAACATATAAATGCTAAAATATATATATACTAAATATATGAATACAAAAAATAATATATAAATACTTAATGATGAATTGTTAAAACTGCTCAACATCATAAATAAAGCATACCGAATTTGATTGGAGTCGTCTTGCACAAATGATACTATTGCTTGCATAACTCCCATTAGAGTAGCAAGTTTGTCTTCATTGCCATATCTATAATCCACATAGAAAGAAAAGATAAAGAGTATTCAAAGCTGTTTCAAGGGTATTCAAAGCTGAACCTAATACTGTACAACTTACCTGGAATAAATGGGTTTACCAGCATCACTAAAAACAAACACATGTTTTTTGTGCTTCACCCAATATGGGTCATTTACRTCTAGAAAAAAAAACATGACACTGCTGAACCTTTGAATATTGCCAAAACCCTTTTAGCAAGACAAAGACTCACCTTCTTCTTCACTCTCCCTTCTTATTTCTTTAATACTCTGTGCTCTYGTTTTCCTTGCTTCTGTAAAAAAGAAAGATCTACAGTTAATTTAAAAACATAAAATGAAAAAATAAAAGAAAGAAAGAAACAAGGAAAGAAAGAAAGGGACAATGCATTACCTTCAGAATGAAGTGATTTATCATTAATATCAGTTGCTGATACTTGATGCTTAACATCTTTCATATTATATTCATCTGTCTCCTCAGCAATAGTAARCGACTTCACATTGAAATTCATGGCAAGTTCTGCTGCATCTACTGATGCATTCTCATATTCACCCACACTACCAGCTGATCCATGACTGCTACTGAAGCTTGAAATTCTTCCTTTACCAGGAGTTGTTTCTGAGGCTGACTTTCCTTTAGCTTCAGGGAAAGCACATATGTCATCTACAGAGATGTCAAGTTCTTCATCTGAGGGAAGCTCAAACAGGGGTTCATGGTTGGGTCTGTAATAAAATAAAAAATTAATATCAGAACAAAATGTATTCTTCACATCTACAAGCAGAATTCTTGTAGCTYAAGAGAGAATGACATACCAGCACTACAGGCCAGGGTTTTAAACATATTCCTTTTAAATCAACTGTACCTACAAAAATTAATGTTTAGATTAAGAGAATGAGAATCACAGAATTGCATCCACTGCCTGCATGCGTTAAAAGCTACTATCATATAATTTTTTACAAAAATGTAATTATTTGCACAAAAAAGTAAGTACAACATAAATATAATTCAAGTTCAAAATTATCCACAAAAATAAACATTTATTTTTCTGTAGGACGTAATTTCCACATCATTCACACTAGTAAATGTTAATTTTACTGTGGTTGTACCCTGATGTAACAGCATTTCCATGCCTGGGTTATCTATGGTGCAGTATGCTCGGTTTAGATTCAATAACTGGTTTATCAATAGTATCTACTATAATGATTAGACCTCTGTCTTAACTGTCAAGATCTAAGTCTAATATTTTCCAGTAAAGACCTGGCTTTTGAAGAAAAATACAATACAATACAATACAACCTGTATTAACTCGTACATTTCTTATTGGTCCTAACTGCAAAGCAATCCACTTTAAAAATAAATTTATACACACAGCTGATTTAAAAAATATATGTTTAAAACCCTGGGAAGACATACTGCTAAATGCTACATACATTGAAAACTCTAATAACAGACAAATAAATCAGTAAACATCGTATGTTTAAGATCTTGTAAATAATGAAATAAAAATGCATGCACTCAAGCAAACTTACTCTGATCATAATCATGAAAAGCCTCATAATTAATTAAAATTAGCATGCAAATTAACACGAAATATTTTTATTTCAAACTCAATGAACTACTGCCCAGCTAGCTCAGTTGGTAAGAGCATCAAGCTGTTGTGCAGGAGGTCATAGTTCAAGCACGGACCAGCACTCAGGATCATAAAATACCTGAGGAGAAGGTGCTGCCTTTGTAACTACATCTGGAAATGGTTAGACCTTCAAGTCTTCTCAGGCAAGGACTTAAAACCGAAGGCCCTTTCTGTCTTCACTATCATAACCCTGTATAAGGCGGATGCAAAAGACTCACTGAAGACGCCTGGTGACAACCATCTTCAGTGCCCCCTGCTAACACTACAGGCACCACAGTAATTGGCTATCTTGTTGTAGTGTATTCATTTTCTCACAAGAAAAAACTAATTAAATATAAGCTAAACACTGCAATGGAATAAACTAACCATGGTAATGATTTCGTTTCTTTGAACAAGATCATTTTATCTTCTTATAGATGTCATACGCTTAAACTTTGCAATCATATTTTTAGAGTAGACAACTTCTAATTTCTTTGTTTTAATAAATCCAATAAATTGAGTCTATATCAAAACCAAGTCTTACTTCGAGTGCTTGTACTTACATTGCTCCAGGTTCTGAACCTTGCAGGACGTCGGGAATATTTTGATTGGTCTCTGTAGGAACTTTAGACTCATCAGCGGAAGCCATGGTTGATTTGATTGTGTTTTATGCAGACATTATTTGTAGGTGTCTTGTCATGTCCAATCCATCCGCCATCTTGCCTACTTCCTGCCAACAAGACGAGCCCGCGGTATTTGCGGACGTGACGCAACTCACAACCCTAAATGAGGTAGGTCCTTCATATATGGTTCATTATCATGCTTGCCTATTCCTTCGCCAACCTTGTCTATACTTGACTTGCCTGACTAAGATTGACCATGCTCAGCTATACTTCGCTATCCTTGGCTATGCTTGACTATGCCTGTCCCTACTTGGCCGTGCTTCACTATGATTAACTATTATTGACTTTGCTATGCTTGAGTTTGCTTGACTAAGCTTGATTATAAAAAGATATAACTAGCTAAAAACTAGTGTGAGCTGCGTCGGTGTTTCTAATGAAACAGTAATGATGAAAA